GCTGATCTGCTCCAGCTGAGCTGCATTAGCTGGTTAACTCCCCTCGCTGTTCAATGGCCAAGCTCAAACAAGGCGCCTTATTTTAAGCTCATTCACCTTGCTCATACATGCTTGCTGCTCGCTCTGCTAGCTCGCTGCTCGCTTCTGCTGCAATATTGACACAGGACGACGTGATTCATTCTCCATTCATCTCTGAAAATCTTCACGAAGCTAAGTTCCTTTTTAATATTCATTGCTAAAAGCTATCAGTGTGTTGGCAACATCCTTCTTGTTAATGCTATTCGTGTGGCATTTGGGCTTATCTAACTAATCGTTTTCATAAAAATGCTTATGCGATCATATTGGCTACGTGCGTTATCTGTTGTCATTGGCAACTGATCGCGTTGCTCACGCTGGCTTTTACCACTATGCAGCGCAGATTCAAACAGCTTGCTGTGATAGGAATTCACTTCTGCGGACTGCCTCCGGACCGTATACAGCTCATTCTTACGCATTGTGCAACAACTACGGCGGTGACACGTACTCGCTCCGGTTTAACCCTTTAAGCTATGGGGCGGTGGTTTCTGCTGCTTACGAACGATACCTCCGTCCCGATGTTCGGGATATTCTTGACGCCCAGAAGCCATGAGCTCAAGTCTCTGATTTGTTTCGTTAATAAAACACATTTGATCATTATTTTGCTCGCGCTCTGCTCAGTTAACGCCCCTGAATGCGCTATCAGCTGTTCATTTATTCATCTAGCTCGTTCTCAGAGGTGGATTAATCATCTATCCATAGAGCTTACACTGTAGACTGTCAAACAGTAAATACAGATAATCTAGGTAACAGCATGTTTTAGCTATTGCGGTCTTGATTAGTCATTTCAGTAATTAATCAATATTTTTACTATTATAAATCGCTAAATCAATATTTTTACTATTATAAAACGGTTAGTTCCAATCCTTGATTCTGATTGGTCAATAGCTGTGCTTTATTCACGATAAAACACGGCTATGACCGCTTCACCCAACGGTTCTATGTATCACTACACAACACCCCTAGCAACCACTCTTAGCAACTTAAACAGATGTTTCATCTCATTGATATTGTTCATTTAAAGCTAGAGCAGAGCATTGTGAGAGATCGAGTAAGCGAGTGTACCTGCATTTACAGTAGACGTAGCATTTTCCTTCAGGTCAGTCCTATATTCATAATAAAAAAATGCGTTTGAATGTCCGCTGCATATTTTGTCCTTTTAACAGTCATGGGGTTTTCCGTGCATAACGTTAGTCATCTGTCAGTTGCGTCTGTCTTCTCCGTGATCACAAGTTCGAGTCCTTTCAAAAGCCTTCTCTACAGACTCACTCACTCACTCACTCATAAAGACAGTCTTTGCCGCCATCTATTGGCGAAATAATATATGTAACTTCTGTTGCTGTTCACGTTCCGGGACTATTTTTTCCAGCGGAAGGCAGGCTTTTAGTGATTTTACTTCATGAAAGTTGCATAGATACATATTTTTCGGCTTTAATATTTTTATTGTGTGGCAACCGTTTTATAAAAGCAATAAGGTACTCGAGGCAAGTGCTGTATCGTGAATAAGTAACGGCTGAAGGGGTTGCAGGCACTCCGCTTCGCGTCGTGCCTAACAACGCCCTCCAGCCGTTACTTATTCACGATACAGCACAGCCTCTCGTACCTTATTGCTTATGTTAACCTTTCCTGCTTCCGTCTCCTAACCGTGGTTGGGAGACACAGGGGAGATTCGTCTTCTCCAGGGCCGGTAGTTTTCCTCCCGGGGTTAACTCCCTAAACCTCACGCTGTTTAGTGTGATGGTAGCATATAAATGACAAAGAGGCCGTCTTGCCGAAGAGTTTAGGTGCTTTATTTTGCTGGCTGCACTAAAATACACTGTAATCGCTAACTACCTGCACCGGTCGCTGTATCACTATCACAACACTCTCATCCGCTCCTCACGGGGAATCAACAGGGGCGGCGCGCGCGCCTCGGACACGCGCACTCACTCTCGTTCACACACACACTGAGCTGTCCTGAACTAAACACATTGGAGACACATCCCACAACACTACCCCCACCATGGACTGGCAATTAACACTAATTCCATTCCATTTAAACATACTTAGCACACACTCTCTATATCTGTAGGCCTAAAATGTGAAGAGACAGCTGTGTTCCAAATAGTATGTAAATCCAAACAGATAGGATATATCAATTTAACAAGTGTCTAAACAATGTTAAAAGTTCTAAAGCTCATTCAACAGTGAACACAGGAGTGAAAAGAAAAATAATAGAAATGCAATAGTCTCTAATAAAACATAAGAGTACATCACCTTTTAAATCCTATTCTTCGGTGACCAGAGGTAATACTGTCGGACTAATCTGGTAATAATCAAATCATACATTGAATGCAATAAAGTGCAAGCATGTAAAAGCATTGAAAAGCTCTTCAGCTTTTTTTTTTTTTAAACGTGCAAAAGTGCTTTTTGTAGAAAAAGTATAGAACAAACTAGACTAGAGTCCAAAAACGTAAACTGTAAAGTCTCTAGTGCAAATATGAACTGTCATAGGTGACTCACTCAGTGACCCAGTCCCCATACCGGAGCGGTCCTCGGCGCTGACGTTGGGGCCGAGGTTCACGCGGAGACTGGTGGTGTGGATCTCCCACCGCACCCCCACCATGGCCAAGTATCACATGGGAAGGAGTGGATGGAAGAGACCCGATAATGTGAGAATTAGTAGCAGGTGGAGTGGACGGCCAGGAGTCGCTGGGGGCATCACTCGAGGCAGTAGAGTAGAGGCTGTGCAGGCCGAGATCCTCACGGTCTGCTGGGTGCCCGTCCACATCCGGTGGCAGGATCTCAGAAGGCGTCCAGTTCTGGGATTGGTCCAGGACCCAGGTGTTGTCCAGGGGCTCACGGCTGCGGTAGCATTTGAGTTGATCATGGTGGACGACTTTGACCTTAGCTCTGGGACCCTTTTGGATCCGGTAGACTAAGTCGTCTAAATGTCCCATAACAAAGTAGGGTCCTTCGTAGGAGGGGAGGAACTTTTTAACTTTGTTTCGGACATGACGTGTTCCTTTGATAAGATACCACACCGCATCGCCGACTTTGTACTGTGTGTGGCAAGCGTTTTTGTCGTATTGTCTTTTTGCACGTGTGACTGACTCACCGAGGGCTTCTCGGGTGATGTTATGAGCCAGTTCCAACCGCTCACGCATTTGTTGCACATACTCAGAGGCTGAAGTTGCATGTTCAGAGTCAGGGGGCAAACCAGCCACAAGGTCCACTGGCTCACTTATTTCACGGCCGAACATCATGAAGTTGGGGGTGAAACCAGTAGCGCTGTGCTTGGTCGCTCTGTAGGCCATAACTGCATATGGGATCATCAGGTCCCAATCCCAGTGACAGTGCTCTGCAGTAGAGGCCAGGATCTTTTGTAGTGTGGCGTTGAAACGTTCAACTTGGCCGTCGGACTGCGGTCTGAATGGTGTAGTGTGGGTTTTGTCGATGCCAAACAAACGGCACATTTCTTGGAATACCCCTGATTCAAAATTGCGTCCTTGATCGCTGTGCAGAGAGTGAGGCATTCCAAAGCGACACACCCATTCAGTTGCCACAACGTTTGCCACTGTCACAGCCTTTTCGTCAGGGATTGCGAATGCTTCAGTCCATTTTGTGAAATACTCCTGTATTACGAGTATATAACTGTTCTTACGCTCTGTCTCATTGAGTGGGCCCATAATGTCCAGTGCAATGCGCTCCATGGGGGCTCCAACTCTGACAGTTCCCATAGGCGCTTGTGGAGTCTTGTGGGGTCTGGCTCTGCATGCGCAATTTGTACAAGTCCGGCACCAGAGGGCCACATCTTCTCTCATGTGGTACCAGTAGTATCTGGTTTGAAGTCTGGCCACCGTCCTTTCAATACCAAAATGTCCACCTACTGGCCCTTCATGCATTTGGCGCATAACATCGGGTTGCATCTTGCGCGGGAGAACAATTTGAGGATAGAACTGTGTATCGTCTAAACAGTAAAAGCGGCGGACCAGTACTCCATCTCTGAAGTACAGTCTTCTCCATTGACTCCAGTACGTTTTGGTGGCTGGGCTGCATGGGGAGACTGTGACCCACGGGGGCCGCTCACTGCTGACCCCTAACCAAGCTCTGATTGGTGCAATGTCTGTATCAGCAGCTTGAGCCTGGCGCAACTCCTCCAAAGTCCAGCCAGGAAACAGTCTGATCTCGTTTGTGTTTGTCACATAAATAATCTCTGTTTGTTTTAAAGTGTCTGTGTTGCTAACATTACCAGCGCTTACCCCCACCGGACTCAGCAACAGGGAGCTGATGTCAGAGTCCAAATCACACTGAATTGCCTGGTGACTCATGGTTCTCTGCTGCAAGGAAGGATCCTGCAGATTACAAGGACAGGACTGGCGGCAGGGCCTGCGGGAGAGACTGTCAGCATTCGTGTGTAAGCGACCTGGGCGATGGATGATTTCGAACTCATACTCCGCTAGCTTCTCAAGCCACCGGGCTAACTGACCTTCCGGCTCTTTCATGCGCGTGAGCCAGCGCAGGCTGCTGTGGTCGGTTCGTACCTTGAAAGGCCTCCCAAGTAGGTACTGCCGAAAATGCGATGTGAAATCGACAATGGCTAGCAACTCCCGTCTCGTAGTGCAATAGTTCTGTTCAGCTTTGGCTAGTTTGCGGCTGCCGTATGCCAACACGCGTTCTGTGCCACCCTGCATTTGCGACAGGACCGCGCCGATACCGGTGTCGCTGGCATCGGTGTCCAGGATCATTTCACCATGGTCCAGTGGATAGCCTAAGACAGGGGCTGTGGTAAGGCGGTGCTTGAGCGTGTCAAAGGCGGCTTGGTGTTCAGCGTGCCACTGGAAGTGTGCATTCTTCTTAGTCAGGTTATGTAACGGTTCGGCAATGGAGGCAAAGTCTTTCACAAACCTGCGATAGTAGGAGGCGAGGCCAATGAAACGTCTGACCTCTTGAACTGATGTGGGAGTGGGCCAGGCTTTGACTTTGCTGACTTTATTGGGGTCAGTGGCCACACCGTGCTCAGACACAATATGACCTAGATAGGCAACTTGGCGGCGGAACAGGCAGCATTTGGCTGGTTTCAGTTTGAGATTTGCCTGTTTAAGTCTCTGGAACACTTGGCTCAGTCGCTGCAGCATCTCGGGCACATTCTTGGCCAGCACGATGATGTCGTCCAGGTAGACGAGACAGGTCTCCCACTGCATGCCGGCAAGGACGCGGTCCATAAGGCGTTGGAACGTCGCCGGCGCGTTACATAACCCGAATGGCATAACGTTCCATTCAAATAGTCCATTACGGGTGCAAAAGGCGGCTGCGCGGCGGGCTCTTGGTGTTAGCTCAACTTGCCAGTAACCTGCAGCAAGATCCAAAGTGCTGAACCATTTGGCTGTGGCGAGAGTGTCCAGCGTGTCTTGGATGCGGGGTAGCGGGTACGCGTCAGTGATGGTGTGGCTGTTGAGTGCCCTGTAGTCTATACAAAGGCGATAAGTCCCATCCTTTTTACGCACCATAACGATCGGCGAGGCCCAACTGCTGTGGCTGCGTGTGGCGATGCCGCTCTGGAGGCCCTCACTGATCTGCTGTTCTGCGCTTCGCTGCTTTTCCCCAGCCATACGACGAGGAGGCTGCTTCACTGGAGGTCCCGGCCGGGTTATGATGTCATGCTGCACAAGACTGGTCCGGCCCAGATCACCAGGTCCCCTGGAAAAGACACTTTCATAGACACACAACAGGTTAGATAATTCAAGTTTTTCATTGTCATTAAAGTCAGTGGAACTCTGGGCATAGAGCTCCTGGAGGTGCTCTGGAACTGCAGGGAGGCTGGCTGGAAAGTCTGCCGCTGTGGGAACACTGGACGAGGACAGAGCTTCAGCTGGCTGGAGGAGACCTGCAATGGCACCTTCTTTAATAGTCACAGCCTTGTTGCCAGGGTTAAAGAGGCGTAATGGAACGATGTTGGTGGGCTGTGCATTGACTAGGGCTCTGGCAATGAGTACTTTGTGCTTTTCAACAAAGCCTTTTGTGGGGCTAAGCATCATGTCTCCCTGGGCTTCTCTGCAAAAGTGCACATTGCCCTTGACTAGGTACTCTTGTCCCGCTTCAACCACAACAGTTCTGGCAACTCTTACAGCGTGTGACTTTGGAACAGTCTCTGGGTGAAAGTAGGGCACTTCTTCTCCAAACAGAATTATGCGGTGCTTACCGAAATCAAGGCGGGCCTCAGCTTGGGTGAGGAAAGGATGGCCAAGCAGCACCTCATTGCCCTCTATGTCCGCTACAAGGAAGTCCACCTCAACTTGACGGTTGTTGATACTGACCGGTACCTTGGCCTCACCAAGCACTGGCACGTCCCCTGGTCCCACCCCGAGCAAAGTCTCAACGATGGATGACTGAAGCGGTGGTCTTACATCTTGGTGAATGGCGTTGTATTGGTGAAGGGGCAGCACGCTCCTCCGCGCTCCACTGTCCAGGACTGCACATACCTCCAGCTCAGATATGCGCATGTGAATGTTCATTTCACGACTCTGGCTTTTAAGGTGGAACACAGTGGTCAGCGGGCTTCCTTTGGCGGCCTTTGAACGGAAAGTCTCTGTATTCCGTAGCGGGGATGAGCACTGACTCTGCTTGTGACCCCAACCATTACAGTTATAGCAGCGAATGTCACCCCTTTTAAAGTTCTTGTGCGGCTTCGGTGTTTTTGCAGATGTGCGCGCGTCAAAGTGAGTGGGTGATGGGCTAACTGCAGAGGTAGTGGTAGTCACAGTCTCAGTTTTGTCTCTTTCTCTGACAACAGCGGCCCGGGGCCTGCGTTCAATGAGGCTGCGGGCCCCTGGCTGCATGATGTTGGTGACATAGGAAGCAGCTCTCTTGGTAGTGTCATGACGGTGGGCTATCTCATAAGCTTTAGCTAGGGTAGCTGGACGGTTTTCTAACAGTCTCTGAACTAGCTCTGCATCACCCAGGCCGTTTGTGAAAACTTCAACCGCTATAGCGTCTTGCTCAGCCTCTGACCAGTCACCATAAGCTATGGATACTTTTCCATAAATGTCATCCCTGAACACATGAAGCGCCTCACCTGGTTTACGCACTCTTTGCCTCAGCTCTATGGCTACAGCCGCTGCATGATCTGAAGAAGGGCCATAAGCAGTTTCGAGTTCCTCCAGCAGGCGGCGGTAGTCCCATTTGGATGAACGGGGGTTTCTGTGGACGATGGCGCCTGCAGCTCCGGTGAGGCAGAATTTCAGCTGAATAGCCATTGTTTTGACTGACCAGTGATTTGCCTCCGCGCAACTCTCAAACCTGTGCAGAAACTCTCTCCACGGTGTGCTGCCGTCGTACTGGCCGGGACGTAGAGTGGGGACTCTCTCTTTGGGGTTATAGTCCTCATCACTGTCCGACAGAGGAGGCTGACGGGGCGCAGAGCGGCTCTTACGTGTTGGAGATGAGGGACCGGCCTGGCGCAATGGAAAATGTCCATGTTTTACAGTCATGTCTGGATTAATAGAAGAATATGGCATGGGAAACGTACTGGCTTCGGGTTTGGATATAGCTGGTGTGCTATGTACAAAACTTCCCATGTGAACATTGGCAAAGGGATTTGTGACTTCATAGTGCCCCTTAAATGGCATGTCTGGAGTGGGATATGTGAAAAGGTGCATGTCTGGCCTTCTCACGGAGCCGTGGCTTTGACTGTTGCCTCTACTAAAAGGATTTGTGGGTGAAAAATGGGCGGGGCTGTCGAACGGCGCGAACAGATCTTCTCCATTAGAAAGTGCGGCAGTGCAACTTTCATCACACAGGAATGGGTTATAATGTTCGCGTTTTCTCTCAGCCTTGCGCTCGTAAGCTTTCACAGTAACTTGATTGTTGTCCTCCACATTGGTTAGCGACATGAACGGGTTTGAGTAGTTGGTTTCTCGTCCGTAAACATCGGAGGGATAGCGAGCGGCCGCCATTTTGTATTAGCTTATTCACGCCGCTATTTAGGTTGTATTACAGTCACTCGGCTTTACTTTTTATTGTCCTTCTATTTTCAATGCTCACCAGTCTTTTAACAACGTGACCGTCCCTTCGTGGTCGCCAGTGTTAACCTTTCCTGCTTCCGTCTCCTAACCGTGGTTGGGAGACACAGGGGAGATTCGTCTTCTCCAGGGCCGGTAGTTTTCCTCCCGGGGTTAACTCCCTAAACCTCACGCTGTTTAGTGTGATGGTAGCATATAAATGACAAAGAGGCCGTCTTGCCGAAGAGTTTAGGTGCTTTATTTTGCTGGCTGCACTAAAATACACTGTAATCGCTAACTACCTGCACCGGTCGCTGTATCACTATCACAACACTCTCATCCGCTCCTCACGGGGAATCAACAGGGGCGGCGCGCGCGCCTCGGACACGCGCACTCACTCTCGTTCACACACACACTGAGCTGTCCTGAACTAAACACATTGGAGACACATCCCACAACACTTACTTATAAATCGCTAAATTAGGGCGGCTCAGTCGACACCGTTCGAGACACTCAATTTTGTTTTGGGGGGAATAGCTCGTGTGGTCAAATAATCATCCTCTGTATCACAGAGGATTGCCAGGTGTGGTTTTGTTTGGGGGGATATTTTAGCTCTCACAGTCTAAAACTGTGTGAGCGTTCCCTAATGCTGCTGCTGCTGTCCTCTGACTCTCTGCTATTTCATGGTGCTCATGAAAGGTCAGAGGACTCCCTGAACAGAGCCATACCGCCAAATTTCAATTCAGGAACATCAACCTGTTTGCAATCTATTCAAATAATTCTTAATTATTTTGTCTGTGTGTTCTTGACTTAATGGACCTGACAGAAGTGTGTTTAGTGTTTTGCAAATCACTGTGTGTAATGTTTAGCAAAAAGTGTGAAGCTGACAATGTGCTTACAGTTGTGCAAATCTAGGCCGGTTTTTTGCTCCTTGAGTGTAAGGTTTTGCTAATTGTGGGAAAGTTCTAATTTTAGTGTGTAAGCAATCGAAAAAAAACTGTAATGTAGAAATATAGCAAAATACTGTCTTATTCATTTGTGTATTATGTTTTCAACAGTTTTGAAAAGAGTATATAAACATGCAAATTAAAAGATGTAATCATCGAATGCATTGTGTCAAAGCAATGATAAATGATCCAAAGTGTAGCCCACATAGACTGCTGTTGTGCTCACTGCACACTGTGTGAAGAGTTTTGAAAAAGTGAGCTATTGAGAAATGGGTCCTGGCTATTGTAAAAACAAAACTCAAGCAATGGAGTTCTGCACTGGAAATGATTTGTTTTTTAGGATAAACTGCAGAAAGAAGAGAAGAAAACCTCTCGTAATGTGGCCAAGCTGCGGCAGCAGTGGCGTGCTATTTCAACACAGGCCGAGACAGCAGAGCTACGCGATGACATCTCAGTCCTCAGCCAGAGCTTTGAGAAAGTCCTCGACTGCAAAGACAAAATCATTAAGGTGACTGTATATAATCTATAGACTTGACTCTCAGTTTTAAATTCTATAGCTTTCATTACAGAGTCTGGGAGTAACAAACGTGTGTGTGTGTGTGTGTGTGTGTGTGTGTTTTACAGAGTTTGGTGGATGATCTGTCTGAGAGGGCGCAGCAGTCAGAGCTGGCACGCAGTTCTCATCTGCAGAACGTGGACTGTCTGTTAAAGCTTCATAAGAGTCGGCTGGCAGAACTAGCGTCCAACTTCAACACCAGTGTCGGAGAACTTAGCTCAGAGTATAATACTGAGAGGTAAACACACAAACAATCACACGAAAGGAAGGGTTTTGTTTTCAAGGGAGTGAATTTGGCCAGTTTGCCAGTTCCTGACTATTTAAATCGGGTCATTCCTTTTAGGATATACCTTTTAACTTCAGAAAATGACAATGCTTTGGTTGTAAAGAAACAAATTCATATAAAATGGTATACCAAACTTTCAGAAATAAATTCAGGTCAAGCTTGGGCAATTTTTAATTATATCTTTATTATTTATGCAATGAC